ACAACAAACAGTAATTGAATTTGTAGGATTATATAAACTATATAATTTGCATAAATAATGCAAGTGTGAATAAATACACTATGATTTCTCAGTACATTTAATTTTCAAGAGGTATGCTTTTTGTTGTTGTTTTTTGGTTTTTTTTGCAGTACTGGGGATTGAACTCAGGACCTTGCGCTTGAAGTGTTTTTTGAAAACTGTAAACTACAGGACTATAAATGTGACAAAAATAAAATAAAACAAATGTTTATAGAGATAAGCTAAAATCGACATCTAACCTACAAAAAAGAAGATAATCTTAGTTTGGTGATAAGTTATGCCTAACTGCACACATTTCTAGACAGAACTATCTATTATCTGAAGGAGTCCTGGTACTCAGTTAAGACTGCCACCTATCACAAACTTGTTTCACAAGTCAGTGCTTTCTCCATTCCTTGCTCTTCCAAGATTATAAGAAAGTATCAACAGGGCAGTAAAATCTCCATCATCGCATCATCATCATCATTTGATACGGCTGCAATCATCTACTCATATGACTTATGACTGTGCTCTATGATGTTGACATTAATCGCAAGGGAATCTCTTAAAGTAGAAAGATACAGGTTTGAGGATTTGTTAACAAATTCTATGTAGCTATTCTAACTATTCAATCACCTAAGTTATCTAAACAAAACTCTCTCAAATGAATGCAGCCTGCTGTAGCCTGGGTATATGAAACATACATCTATATTAGAGCATCTTTAGGTTTTGCATTTTAGTAGTTAATACTATAATGGTTATCTAAAATAACACTTGGAAAATTGTATTTCAAATGCTTTATTTTAGCATTTAAAATTGTTTTACATGAATGTCTTATACTAGAAGAACACCATTCAATGCCAATAATCTATCATTACAGGAAAGAAAATTAAAATATAACCAGAAACAGTTCCCACCAAGTCGTTTTTTATGGAAAACTAAAAACAATGTCACCATGAGACCTTTGCATGCATTTTAAAGCAGTTATGTCTACTCTTAGAAAAAACTACAAACTACAGATATGATTGGTCACTTATCCATATTAATTATATACTATGCTTTTAATACTTTAACTGTGACAAAAACCATGTATCACAGTAAACAGTGCAATATGAACAAAGCCCAAGAAAATCTGAACATGGTTTTTTGAAAGAAAATAAAAACTGATAAATACTGATTTTGACCAGAAACAAGAGACACATGTAAATATCACAGTACAGATGACAATATTTGCCATATTTCTTACATGTCCAGTAAGAAATTACCTCCACATGTATACCCCTCATTTTCAGAATTACATCACCATCTTATGAAATAAAATTATAACACATACACAAGATGTATATCTATAATTCTAAGAAATCACTGAAAAATTCAACCAGAATCTTGATATACGTGCCCCCAAAAAGAAAGAAGAAAAACCTAGATATGTAGTGATTACCATGTATGGCTCAAAAGGCTATAAAATCCTTTGATAGGCAAAAAATATACCTTGAGGCAGAATGTACTTCAAGGGGGGAGGCTATTTTAGTTGAAAATGTGGTAATGAATTGTTTCCTCATGCTTTGTATAATTCTTAGAAAAAGTTCAAATTAGGTGCCCAAAAGGACATTTTAATTATCAGAAGCAGTATTTTGAAACTCACACAAGCCATCACACTTGTTTGGAAACAAATGACTTTTCAAAATAGAGAAGTATTACTATCAATCACCAACAAGTTAATTCTACATAATAAGGCAGGTTTGGATGCAAACTGATCCATTGTGGAATGCTGTACCTAAAATTGATTACAACAGCAGTCAAAATGAATGCAGCCCTCCAAACCACTTCTTCGTAAAGAAACATTAATCTCAATTAGAAGGAGCGCTTCATAATGGTAATGCTTGGTATGAAAAATATAAAATAAATCAAGTTCTATAAGACAAAACAATTAATCAGTTTTCAGACCAGGACTTTCTTTTTTTTTTTTTTTTTTTTT